TCTTCTACGCCTTTCGCTGTTGTATACGCTCATAGTTAGTTATCTGCAATATCCATTTATTATACTACGATTGCCAAGCCAAAGGCCAACACCTGTAGTACTTACTTTTCTCTATGTCCATGAGGTACTACATGTGTACGGACATATACAAACACACACACACACACGTGCATTGCTAGATTTGTCTTTGAACTATAAAAAATTACTTTCACAATTTCTCTACTTGCTGCGCCACTGCATGATGAATTTACACTGTGCGGCCTGCTTGCCGTTCTACAAGCAGATTCCTACACAGATAATCTACAGCTTGTGCTACGTTGTGTTTATGACGCAGCGCCGTGGCAGGTATGGTCCCAAACCAGCAAATTGCTTTTCAAATGGACGAACAGTATTTGCACACAGCAAAATGCATTCTCATGTCCACAAACGAAGTGCATAGCAAGAATATATGTATACAAGATTATAACTGGCGATTCTACAACAAGGCAAGCATTTCACCCGCGTGCACATTTGAGTGACTTAATTAAAACGGCAATACCTTTTTCAGCCAAGGCAGCCTTCGTTGGGGTAGATAGATGATAGTTAGGTGTGCACTGCGACCTGGTCAACTATTGTGCCCTCTTCTCTTCACAACACTTCATTTAAGCCCAGATCGCTCAGAAAGTTCAATATCGCTTTGGGGGGTAGGGAGTGGATGTGCTCAAGCTGTAGCCACAACGTACCTAGACTCTTCTCACGTCTTCTGCAGACTGCATCCCACTCGGTGAGTCAAGTCAAGTCACAGAACTTGCAGAGATAATTAGACCATGGGTGACCCCTTAATCTGCAGTGTCCTGTAAGGAAAGCTTTGTAATCTTTTCTTGTTAAACCCTCCTAGTAAACTCTTAGCCTGGCGCATTCCTCCCGAACTGCACCAGTTTAAATCTCGTATTATGTACCTCTCCCTCCTAAGCTCCTCCTTTATTGTATTAGCTTCTCAATGCACTCAACGCCCAACGAATATTTGACTTCATAGGATAGAAGAACCTTGAGTTCCGCCTGACTATCGCTCAACATAAATTCGCTCATTTCTGTACCCTCTATTCAAGATTGTTTCCACACTGTTGCATGGAAGATGCTCAGATATTTCCCCATATGAGCAGATATTCTTTTTCCGGGCCCAACGACTCCAGCCTCTACTCCTTCTGCGGTCTTCGAGCCATCTGTGTACCAGTTCGTTGGAGTAGTAGCGAGTCGGAAATAAACAGTACAGGCAGGTCTTTTCAATTTTTGTTTAAAAGCTGTGGAACGCTTTTTGGCACTTTCTTATCCCCAATATACACCTCTTAGCTGAGGATAATTAGTGGACAAGACAGGAGACAAGGTTTATACCCACAGCAGCGAAAGTCAAATAAAGGCAACCGACTCATTAGTCGGATCGCTGCGTGGCTAGTAAGTTTCTCAGAAAAGTTGTAGCAGAAGGGCACTCCACACGAAGACGAAGTAGAAAATTTAGCACGGAAGACTTATCGCCTCGAAACACCAAAAAGAAGGTCACCAAGAAGACCTATTTGTGGCTTATTTTGCTTACTGAGTAATGGTCAGTGTACGCATGTGTGTTTAGCTGCACAAATGTTTGTATGTATGTATGAATGAGAATATGTAAGTTATCGTTTCGTGTCTACAATGGCAGCTAGCAAAAAATGGTTAGCATTTCATTACAACAAAACTGTTGCTGCAATGCGGCGGGCGTATGCGTCGTGCCACCACTGCAATATTTGCTTTACATTATTCCACCAGGGGGCGCCGTTGCGCCAAAGCTCGGTGAGGTTACGTATACGCTAGTAGCCCCACCGTTTATGCCTTCCATTCATCTTCCTCATCCCAATTGTGCGCTTTATTCTTCTACTACTATTCTCAGTTGTGTGTAGTTGATGTGGGTGGCTTCTCGTGCACTCGCTTCTTCTCTCTTTTTTCCTGCATGCCTCTTGTCACAAGCGCGTAAATAGCAAATGCACTCATGCAAGCAAATTATAAGCCATTGTTATCCTTTTCTCTTTCGCCCTGTTGGTATGTTTTGGAATGTGCAATGGCAGCGGTTCGTTTTACAAGTGCGATTCCTACACTTGTTCTATTTACGGTTTTTGTTCCTTCGTTTATGGATTACTTTAAGCATTTAATGGCATTTGAATAACTACAAGTAGTAAAGGTGTTAGCTATCGGCGGCTTTAATCCTACGCTCTCACTGATTTATTAGCGCAAGCATGAAAGCAAAAAAAAAATATACATTTACGTCAGATAAAAAGTGTGCTTAGTTCAGTGATTAGCTCGAAAACTTAAAAAGAAATAGTATAGATGTGAAGAAAAATATGCGATTTGAATAATAAGCGTATTCAGGGAATTATTTATGAGGGCCAATAAAGTTATTTTAAAATTTTGCAAGCATAGCAATTCTGGGCTTCAAAAAAGTAATATATTAATGCAGCGACTAGATGATTGCGACAAAAGTGGATTTTCACTCTTCCTTTTGGTTACTCTCTGAAAGCATAGACAGACGGCAGCGTTGATCTGGATTAACGGAGCAGTTAATCTGATTAAAATTGTGCCTTGACAAACGGCGGTAATGCGGATTAACAAGCCGCAAGGTCGTGAATTTGAGTCCCACGGCCAGTAGAATGTAAATTTATTTATTCTTTTTTTTATTCACTCATTTGTAAGTTTTTTAACGTTGCTTTCAGTTAGATGTTGTTGAATTTTTAATAAAATTTAAGTTTAAAAATTTTAATTGACTTATAGTAAAATAATAAATGTGATATAAAACAAAAACAAATGAAGATAAAATAAAGTAAAATTTAATATACGAAACAAATAAAATGAAACAAATAAAATAATAAAAAGCCAAATTTTTGGCAACCGCTTCAACCGAAGTTCGAACCTGGCACCTACAGACTTGTACCACGCAACTCTCACCACTCGGCTACCGCGGAAGCCAAACTCGCTTGCTTTGTTTGCTTACTTGTAGAAAAGACAACAGCTGGCCGTTTTTACCAGTGTTGTCATCGAAAATTCCCCTGATCCGAGTTAATTCCCATAATGCTGCTTATGCGCATTTAAAAGACGAAGATGCATAAGTTAATGCAAATAAAGGATATTTATGTAGATCAGCGAGTCCGTTTGTCACCCGTATAATAATTCCTAACGCACTACAAATTCGAAATGGATGTAGATCGTGAGACTGGTTAGGTTACATCGAACTAGTTTAGTTTATGCTAAACTAGAGTTGATTGCGGTGATTTCCGCTCTACTTAATGTTGAGTGATACACTTCAATCGCTTTCACCCATTGCGCTGCCACGTATTTCAACTCTAAGGTTTTTCACAGATCTCCAGAAATTCCAAGTCGGCTAGGCTCTGAAAAAAAGTTTGCTTTTAATTAAAATTGGAGCTTCGACCAGAGTGCGACAGTGGAAGAGATATTGCTCAGCACTTTCCACTGTAGCTAAGATATACATACACAGAAATCGGTAAGTTGGTAACTCTGTCGTTATCTATGGCTTATCATTACTTAAGTTAATGGAGTTTTCTTTTCTGCAAAACAATATTACCTTCCTATTGCCCCCTTCGCACAAATATTAAGATAACAGCAATGAAATTCAAGACTTTTTGTAGAAAAGAAGGTGGCATAATAGTGTCCGACCATTGAGGTCTGCTTGTTACCCAAAGTCTGGATTTAAGCTCCCATCTACCATTAGCTGTATCGCTGAAAATGTGTATATATCATTACTTGCAAGAAAAGTGCCAGAAGGTTCCATATAGCATAGCATCTAATTTTAAAGCTATAACTGGAAAAACCTTGAAAAATTCTAAGAAGTCAAAACGTTTATTGAGAGGTCAAAATTTGTATGAATTGAAAAAAAAACGATAAAAAAAAACCTGTTTATTCGATATTCGAGAAATCAAGAAGAAGAAACGGTTTGGAAAAACCGAGTCAATCACCCTAGTTTCAGTTCTGGGCAGCATCTCTGCTGCACAGCTCCTATCGACATTCCGAAAAATCCAAACTACACTCGTCATAACTATCGCCGTTAATTAGTTTAGATCCTTTTTACATTATACTATTTCAATCTTTGGAGAAGTATTGCTGCTGTGTAGAGATTCCATTACAGCCTGCTCTCTGAATTAATTATTACAGACTGTGTCGAGAGGGAACAGAAATACAGAAGCTTAGACTCGAAATATTCTAGTAACCGATTCTACAGTTTCTCAGGGCATGTTCTTCGTTCAATCTCGCTGCGTTGCTGCTAGTCTGAAGGATAGGAATTAGTGGATAGGAAACAGTGGTACAAGTGAAATATTTAACTATCAAAGTATAGTTAAGTGGAGCTTCCTGCCCGTTGATTTCATCAGGATACCCTTCCTTGCCAGCTTGTTAGCCGTGCAATATACATACCTAGCTGTCAGAGTTGATGGTACACTCTTAAAAAGTGTCTCCACTAATTCTGCTTGAAAAACGGAAGCATAGACGTAATGTTGATGAAGAGCTTATGGCAGCTGAACTCCCCATAGAACGCTTGCATCAACCTCCGGCCACCTAGCCTCAACCAATTTCCGACGGACATCAGCTGGTTGGAACAATTTTGGAGACACGTTGATACGGTCCCCATCCCCATTGAGGGATTATACTATACTCCAAAATAGTTCTTTTTATCGATAAACCCAGTTTACTGAGTCCTACAGCAAATAGAAAATCAATTTATTGATAACAACCTCAATAGGCAATATCTAGGTTTTTAATAATATTGAGGCCCTCCATAAGCCTTTTTCTAATTTGTGTATCTTGGTGTGCCGACACTTGGCCCTTTGTACCATGCCTAATTTTAAATGATTTTACTATTTCCATGAAATATCAAAGGACCAAACCAATATCTAAATATAAAATAAACATGTTTCTCTTAAAGCCGCCAACCAATCATTGCGCCAAATAACAGCTCTCCCCTCTCTCACTCTTCAATTCCATTGCAGAATATGTGGCGCTGCAGTGTGTGCCGACGAAAGATGGCCTCGCGTGTGTGCATCCCACAAGACTCAACTGACTCCATGTTGGACGTGCCCGTGCTGGAGGCGCTGCAACGACGTCACTCCGATGCAAAACTCGGCTCAACACAGACACTGGCACCGGCAAATGGTGCCGCATTGGCACCGCCGCGCAGTCCCGAACTGCGTCGCCATTCGGATGTCTCACCCGCCTCGCTCAAAGAACTCGAAAAGGTAAGCGATGTTCCGACAATTGTGTGTGCGTGTCTGCAGCTGCTGTGTTGTGCTTGCGTATTTTGTTTTGTTGTTGTTGTTGCTTTAGTTTTACTTTGCGCCATTTTGAGTTCAGTATTTAGTTGTTGTTGTTGTTAGTTTGTGTTTATATTTGTGTTTGCGTTTGGGTGCGTGTGCCAAAAAAGAGTGGGCGTGTAGTGCGCGAAAGACGTACCGTACCGTACCGTACCTCACTCACCTGCCGTACCTTCCGTACTCTTTGTACTTTTCGTAACTTCGTTCGATTACATACAAACAAAAAAAAAAAACGCAATTTGATGCGCGGCCGCTACACACCACTCTCGTGTGATAACCACACGCCACACCCACACCCAACCCACAACCTGAAAATGCAAAACGCAGTTGAAGGGCAATAAAACACCGGGCGGTGATTTGGACTTTCGCAAGGGTGGACGCAGCATGGCGCCGAGTCGTTCGTCGAGCCCGCCACGGCAGGCGGATCTGGAGCAGCAACCGCCTTTTGGACCGCCCCTGTCGCGCATTGCTTCGCGGCGGGGTTCGCGTGTGGCGCGGCAGCACAGCTATGACGATGACATGAATAGTGCGGCCATGGCAGCGGCGGCTGGCGCGGGCGGCGCTTTGGGTGCGGCTGGTGCACTAGGCATGGTGGGCGGTGACCCTGGACTCGGCATACCAGCAATGCCGAGGAGGTTAGTCTGGGGAGTTTTAAGTGCTTGCGGCCATTTAGGTTTCAAGTTTTCTCTTCCCTTTTGCCTTTGCGCTTTAGAAAATCCGCATACGACGTCTTCGCGCCAAATCTGCTGCAGAGTGCGGCGCCAGCTACTGCAGCACAGCTACAACGATCACCTGGCGATGGCATGTCTCCTCAGATTGCTTTGCCCGGTTCGCGGCGACCCTCCTTCCGTGTGCCGCATCCTTCCGAGGATTTGCAGAACGATGAGTCACCAAGTCCGGACAAGGGCAGCCCAGTGCTAACGGTGGACGACGACAGGCGCATACGACGGCGTGGATCACAGCTGTAAGTGGAAGCCTTTCGAATTCAGCAATAAATAAATTTAATTGTCTTGGAAGAAATATACAAATTTTAACTCAGATCCAATGTTACTTACTCTAGTCGCTTTTCTATTGAATTCTTTACTCGCAGCCCTGATTTGGCCGCGTTACAGCAACGCGGTGCTTTACCAACCAACCTGCCGGCCACCATACCCCCTCCACTCGCCGCCTTTACTGGCCCAAACTTGGAGGACCTGGAGGCACCTCGGCGTCAAACATCGATGGATGGCGAAGCTATTAAAATTGTCATACACGACGTGGACTCGGGTCCTATTTGCTCATCGAAACGAAGAATTGTATTGCGCAGAGATCCCACAGACAAGGCCCATCGCAGTAAGTAGAAAGCGCTTTTATAAACCCTATTTAGTTGATTATTTTAGCGATTGAAAAACTAAACTAAACACACCTTTTTGATCAAAAAAATCTTGATATATTCGGTGATTTAAAAAATGGGCATACAAATTTTTTTTTCTAAATTAGAGACAGATAAAAATTCATCAAAAATTCTGTATACATTTTTCGTCATTAAAAAACTGCACAGAAATTTTCGGACTAAAATTTTTGACAATTTGAAATAGGATAAAAACTTTTGGTCATTTGAAAACTGGACATAAAATTGTGGTTATTTAAAATTGGACATACATTTTTGGGCAAACATTTTTGCAATTTAAGAATTGGACACAAAATTTTAGGCATGAAACTTTTTGGCATTTTGAAACCGATTAAAACTTTCGGTGATTTAAAAACAGGACATACATTTTTGGTCATTGAACATTTGCCATCAATTTTGGGTCTTTAGAAATTGGTCATCCATTTTTGGTCACTTAAAGATAGGCAGAAATTTTTGGCTATTTAAAATTCGCAATCATTTTTAGAACATCTAAAAATTGGACACAATACTTTGAAACATAACAAAAAATTGCAGTTCCTTAAAAAGGGGATGTAAAATGTGATAATATTAAATTTTTTTTTATTTAAACATTTGTTAAAATGCTTGGCAATTTAAAATCGGATAAAAAAGTTTGGTCTTAAAAAAACTGGACATAAATTCGGTCATTTAAGAGGTCATAAATTTCTGTTCATTTAGTATTTGCTATACATTTTTGGTCGTTTAAAAAAGAGGACATACATTTTTGGTCACTTGAAAACAGGTCATATTTAATTGACCATAGCAAGAGACTTCTGCGTCAAGGACCTGGATCACAATCTTCAGGAACCAATTCACCAGTCATCTAAAGTGGGCCTATTCGTTTGACTTGGGGTAACAGTAGGGACAGCCAATACCTAACACTCCCTACCTTCTCTCGACGGCGCTGGTGCGGTTTAATTCGAAGATGTGTTCTTCTAATTCTATTAACGCTTCTGTGATAAAACTCTTTTTACATATATATGCCATGTTAGAAAAAAAATTGGTGACACTTGAGTCAGTATTTAAGCCAATAAGGCTACGTTGCGGTTTTCTTAGAATTACTTAAAAGCATAAATTTGTTCAGCTGCTTTTGACAGCTGGTCATTGTGATAAACTCCTTCAAGCGCACTTACCACACAATGTCTTTCCCTTCCAATTATGTAGCTTCTCAGCCGTTCAACGAAATGATTTCTGTTAAACGCACATACATAAATGAGTCATTGTTTTTGTATCCGCTTCTGAGTTTAAAAGGCTTTGTAAGACAATCCCAATTGCCATTTTTCTTGGAAGCTCTCCAATGTCCCCCATTTTCCCTGGAACTTGTACAAAAAGAGCGTACATAAAAATTAACTCAATATTGCCATAGCTGCCAGCAAATCAAAGCTTCGGTAATTCAGCGTATAAATTGACAGCTTTTCCTCGAATTCCTTTGTAAGTCAGTAATCGAAATATGTACATATACATATATGAGTATTATCTGAAAAAATGCTATTAAATGAAGATTTCTGGTAATTTTTTTGTATCACTGTTGAGAATTCATATTAATAGCTCTGATCCATTATCTCAAGTATTTTTTTTTTTTTTAAGTTGACGACGATTAAAAAGTATTGAAAATTGTATGTATATTCCACTTTTTAATCAAATGATGACAAATGGGCACAGAAAGGTGGTGATTCAAGGCCAGAAAAAACTCGAAAATTATTCAAAAAATATCCAAGATTTCGTTTGAAAATTAATTAAAACCCACAAAAAACCTTGAATTGTCTCGATGAAATACTGAAAATAGACGAAAATTCCGAAATTTTTTTGAGATTTCGAAAAGTATGTATGTGTGCATATCATTAAACAAAGTCTCGAAAAAATCAAAAAAATAACTGAATATACAGAAAATGTATCAAAACTTTTTAAATCGTAAAAATTTGTCTACGAATATTTAAAGAATCCAGAAAATATCCCTAACGTCTTATAGGCTAAGAACCGGAGATCCCATCTGTTTAATGGTTGAAATCAATTTTGTATGAAATTTAACGTGTTGGTAAATATTTCGCGAGTGGTTTGGCTGAAAACCTGGTCAGGATATTTTTAATTAAATATTAAAAAATTATTAATTTTTCTTAATTTTGCACTTATTTGTTTAATGGACAACTTAGATACCAATGGAAAATATTAGGCGGTACGATAATTTTTCTGTTTCGAAATCGAATATTAACTAGTAATAATTGCAATTTTTATTTAAAATGTGATAAGCATAGATGTGAACGAATATACTTTGAAAGTTATTTCAAAAACTCCCTTCCCTTCCCTTATAATTACAAAAGCTTTAAAAACTAAAATGAACTGTAAAAAAAATTCACACTGACCATTCACCAGCATAACCAAGTTGTGTATCCGTGACGCTAATCTAAAAGAACAAACATTCGAACTAATCGAATACGATGACAAAGCTAAATGCACTGTCCATTGCACAAAATCGTCCTCCAGCTGCTTGGGAATATCAGCAACCAATAAATACATATATACGTATGAATATGCTGCTTCGCCTCTGAGCTGCCAAATGCAAATAAAATGACAAGCGAGTGGCTAGAAAATTGAAATCCCTTCGAAAGGGAAATGCAACAAAACTGATGGAGTGCAATGAAATAGCAAAAAGAAAAAAGTGAGACATTTTAGTGAACTGTTGTCTGCCGGTTGCTGACAACCCAACTACATAGGATGACTGCAAAAAACACTCGAGTAGCCAGCCAGCTGCCCAAGTATATTTGCACATCTGCTTGTAAGCAAGTATGTATTGACTGTACCTTATTGGCTTGCCATAGAAGTATTGGCTAGCGATTGGTGATTTCTTATGTTGTTCATAGTCTTCATTGCTCAGTGTTGTTCGTCGGGTATTGATTGGTCTTTGAATAAATTGAATTTTAAACATCCGCGCGCTGTGCCTGGCAACTAAAGTGCTAAATATGCTAACTTGCGAGTAAAATGTTTAGTAGAGCGCAATGCAGCGCATTCAAATGGAATGGAATGTAGCTGCTACAATAGACATAAATACCTACCAAACGATACATACAAGTTCTATAATATTGATTAATTTAGCGTAAATGGAAATTAAGTTACCGAGTGGAAATTTAATAAAATCCCAAGAAGGTATAGCAATGAAAAATTGTTTGTGAAGCAAATGAGTCAAGCAAAAAACCAAATTCGCTTAAGAAGCTTCGATTGCATAGCAGGAATTATGAAGTCACTTTTGCATAAAACAAAAGCGAAGGACTCGGAAATTTCTTTGTTCTAAATAAGTATGAATTAATGCCAAAAAATAAGAAGTTTTATTGAAAAAAAATGTATCTTCTGTGTAAGTCACTGACGCAGATACCAAAGCAATGTTGGTCTGCCTTCGAGATAGTTTTTTAATGTGTAAACATTTTAGTTATCGGTATGATTTCAATTTGCCTTAACTCAGCAGAAAATTGGTAACTGCTTCTTGTGTAACCCAGCAGAGAATCTGTTATTGCTTCTTGTGTGTACAAATGAACATTTCGGGACTAGTTCGAGATCATTTCGGGACCGTTGAGGGTGATGTTTGAAGACAACCTTGGGACTAGTTTTCGTCCATTTATGGGCTAGTACAGGGCTATTTAAGATACATTTTGGGGCTGGTTCGGGATTGGGTCAGGATGGGCTCAGGAGTATTTCAAGGCCATTTTGGAATGAGTTCAGATCTATTTCAGAAATATTTCAGGTCTAGTTCGAGATGATTTTGGGCCTAGTAAGGCACAATTTCGGGACAGTTTCAAAACTTTTTCGACATAATTTCGGGATAAGTTCTCGAGTTTTTCAGAACCGCATCTGGACTACTTCAGCATGATTTTGAGACTAGGTCGGGATGATTTCAGGGTAGTTTGAAACTACTGACGAAATAATCCTGAAATAGGTTTGGACCATTCCTGGAGTGGTTATGAAAAAGGGGGATACTGCTCCTGACAAATTGAATGAAATGAAACGAAATTAATGTTCATTTTTTAACTTAAACTAATTACATTTATATCCTTTTTGTGCAAACTTACATTACAGGTCTTATAAGGGGTCAAAAATCAGTTAAATTTTTTTAGAAATACAATTATTAAAATTTTACGAAGATCTGAACTTTGACCCCTTATAGCACTTGTATATAAGTTTGCACAAAAAAAGTAACACCCGTTTAAATAAGAGCAAAAGGCAGACCACGTCTATATTTTTAATTTCTAAGTAAAATAATTTTTTACGGATGCTAACTTCGAAAAACGGAGAAACTACTTTTTTACTTATGAGTCAATCTTTTCAAAAAAAAAAAATTGGTTTGGAACAATATCCAGAAAAAAAGTTGATTATGCCGTATAGTGTAATTATAACGAAAAGACTTTTATAATGCATATCGCACGTTTAATAATATAGAGATGTAACTCAAAATTTACGTTTTTGGAGATTCCAGTACGCAATTAATAAGCTTGATAAGTAGAATATGTTCAGTCTAACAGATAGTCAAACTTCCCAAATATTGCGAAGATATAGCTGTATGAAAATTTTGAAATACTTCGTTATATTATCAAATGTGCGATATATAAGTCTCAAAATAAAAGTCTTCGAAGACTTAAAAAATGTATCTCGCTGATAATTACTATTGAATAGAATCTTATAATACATATTTATCTAAGTCTCGAAATAATTCATACTTATTGATGGCTTTAACAATTTTTCGCACTCGTAATTGTTATCAAAAGACTTTTTATAATTCTTAAGAAAATTTGAATGACTTTTTTGAAACTCCACCATGAAATAATTATTATTCAAGATCTCTGGTATCAGCACTCTTTCACAGTTAAGGATTGACTGCTTGCGTTATTTACTGCTGAAATCTATAATATTTCACCTCGATTTACCTTTACCTCGCTGA